ATACATACATACATACATACATACATACATACATACATACATACATACATATACACTTGGCTACAACGATGGACGCAATGACACGTGTGGCTTAGCGAGCGGGACAAAAGGCCCCAACAGACCAACCGCACATCAGGTGCATGTATACTTCTATGAACTCATCATGAGTGTCTCTTGGGATCACTACGTCTTGCTGTGCAACGGGTACGAAGCCTATGAGCTGGTCGCATATGAGGTGCAAAGAAGAGAGAAGCTGCGTGCGTGCATACGATACAGACACTCCAAGACTGAGTGGCACACGGACGAAGCAGGTAGACTACTAAGGAATGAGGATGTTCACTTATCTCCAGGCCTCAAGGGTACTCTCCTACTATCGTTGAATTAAATAGAAACACGTGTGTGTGTGCATAGGCACGTTTACTATTGACATTGACACGACATCACTTAGGATATGCGTATAATAACTCCCCACCGTATCCATGTATCAGAGGTGCACTACACAAGCAAGCACACGGTCGTTCCTGTACCTCATTCAGCTGCACCATTTTTGGCGAGTTTCTACTGACATCTTCTACTTGTTGCGCGGATTTGATCATCTGATCGATCCCCTCCACATAGTCCATTTGTTTCTGTATATATATATATGTATATATATATATATATATATATATATATGTATGTATGTATGTATGTAATGTACAGGCACTCGGGAGGGTGAGTGGCCTTGTGGTGCGATACAGCTTTGGCGCAAACGTATCTGCAGTAGTCAAAGCGGCAGCCCCAAATTCTGTACTAAAGCACAAGTGCACCTGGATATGTTCTCTCCGATCGCTTCCACAGTAGGGCTGGGCAGGACAAATGATTGCCAGCCAGCATGACTCATGGGAAGGGAAGGTAGATAATAAACAAACTACAATGTAGATGTATCTACAACTACAATGTAGATGCATCTACAACTACATCAAAGAATAGTGTCAAGGTCTAAATAAAAACACCATTCGCGTTCACTGTTTGCGTTCAGTCCGAGAACCAAACGACAGCAGCAACCGTGTGGGGGGACCCGATGCAAAACAAGGATTGGGCTGAGCATACTTGAGAATACGTTATGCGGTGTCTTGTACGTTAACGCGCGCATACACTTCTCTTTGGCGGTGTGCCTAATCCTTTAATAACACAACACACCTCTCCCGGCAAATACGAGAGAGCCCCCTCCAGGATAGAGTGCAGCCGCTGGTTGACTTCTGATTGGATGGCCACCTCACACAACAGATGGTATGCCATGTCGTAGTACTGTAGCAGCAATCAATGTGTGTACGGTTTAAGGTTTTTGGTACTATGGCGGGGTGGGAACGCGGAAAGCATGACAAAACCATCGATATTTTTAGGGCTTAGAGTTTCAGGTACTATGGTAGATAGTTGAAATGCGCAAAGTACAAGACGGAGAGAGGGATTCAATACACCGTACAAACATATCCACAGGAGAACTAAAACAAAAACAGAGAAGCAACAACAGGATCCTATTCCTCTACCCTGAACAAGCAACTGCTGCCCAGAGCAATCTAAAAGCAAAAAAATAAATAGAGACTTTTAACTGTTTAATGATGGATATAATCGTCCGACTATTAATAAAGAGTACCCGAGAAAGAGTTATATCAGACCACAAACACACTCGCTTGCCCTGACAGCATGCTACATGTATATGTCATAGTATAAACACACCCTCCCCTACCCTAACAGCGGTTACATGTGCATATATCATACCACATGCATACCCACACTCACTCTGACAGCATGCTACTTGTATATATACCATAGTATAAACACACCCTATCTTACCCTGACAGCATGCCACTTGTATATGTAATCCTACCACATACACACCCTCACCTACCCTGACAGCATGCTACTTGTATATACAATCATACCACTTGCACACCCACACTCACCCTGACAGCATGCTACTTGTATATATAATCATACCACATACACACCCTCACCTACCCTGACAGCGTATTGCTTGTATGCATCATTGTTTTCTATAAGCCGCGACTTCTCTGTGTTGAGCTTCTCTATATGCGTTAGCATGTCTTTGTGTTTCCTTGCGATGGAGTCTTTTGTCGTCTGTAGTATTCGTTCGAAGCCCCTCCCAACATCGGACTCAATAGTCGTATCCTCCTGTATGCAGGTGAAGAATAGTGGTAGTTGAGCATGCTGGCTCGAGTGATATGATACAAGGAGTGACAAGAAATGCAGCTACTGATGTACTTTAAATCTAAACGAGATAGGTAAATGATTGTGACTCAAGAACGTACAACACATACACATGGAAAAACAGAACACTACTGCATTTTTAGAACATAACACACACATACACACACACACACACACACATATATATATACCTGCATAGACACAGACACAGACATATATATACATTAATAAATATATATATATAGAGTACATGCATATATACAAGCACACACACAGACACACAGACACAGAGGCACACACAGCGGCCCACACACACACACACACACATATATAT